CTTGGTTCCCTCCCGGTGACCATTTGGTCATCCCATTTCTCAGCTGTGTCTAGCCTTTTAACTAACTATTCACAAGGATTTATCTCCTTCAGCAGGGTAGGGGGGTGTGTGTGTGTGTGATTTGTGAAGCTGTTCCTTTTCCTTTTTTTTTTTTTAATTAAATCATAGCTGTGTATAGTAATGCATTTATGGAGTACAATATGCTGGTTTTAGATACACTTTGAAATACTTACAACAAACTGGTTAACATAGCCTTCACCATACTTTCTTAATTATTATGTTAAGACATTTGAGAAGTCAAATAGTTCTGAAGAAATGGTTGACAAAAACCATATATGACATTCTTGAAGGGACAGAACTATAATGACAGAGAACAAGTCCGTATTTGTCAGGGGTTAGGGTGTGACTATGAGGGGTAAGGGAGGGAACTCTTTGGTGGTAATAGAATAATTTCACATGGTGACTACCATGACGGTTATTCTAATCTGTACGTGTGATATAATTTCATAAAACCATACACAAAAAAGTTCATCTGAAAATAAATAAACCCAAAATAAGACTTGTACTTGTCAATGGAAAAGATCCCAAACTTTAAAATAATCTAAAAAGGATTATTCTGAGCTGAATATGAGTGTACATGACTTAGAAAGCCATGTCCAAGAAACCTTGAACAAGTGGTCTCACCATGGTTGGGTTACAGTTTGGTCCTATACATTTCAGAGAGATGGGAATTACATGAAAAGTCATCAATCAATACATGGATGGTGTACATTGGTTTGGCCCGAAAAGGCAGGACATCTCAAAGCCAGGAATTAGAGGTTAGAGCTGTTTAAAGATTCTTTGAATTGTAATTGGTTAAAGAAATGAAGCTTTGTCTAAGCACTTACGATGTTTTAATTTAAGATAAGGAATTCTGTTAATCAGAGACAAGCCACTGGACATGTCCAGGACCTATACTCAGACTCCAGAGATCTGTTAAGTAAATTGAAGACCCACAGATGTGGTTTAAGCTTTGTCTTTTGAAGCCTTAGGTCTATTAATGAGTTACAGAGGGCATCTCTGCCCTCCTTTCTGATGGCTGGCAACTCAGCCTTTGGGTATGTAGGGGGTTCCTTTGGCCAAAACAGGGTTCATTCATTGGGCCGGGAGGCTTAGGATTTTAGTTTACATACTTGAGTTAATAGCATTATTCAATATCAACGTCTTGACTTTGGCAATGAGCCATGCTTATGTATGATATTATCATTTGAGGGAAGCTTGAGAAACAAGGAAGAGATACAGGAAGTCTGTATCTTTTTTTCAACTTCTTGTTAGTCTCAAATCATTACACTATTTCAAAATACAAAGTTGTTTTTAAATAATGCTGCAGTATTCTGCTTCCTTTTGCTCTCTGTCTTTATGCAGAGAAGAAAAATCCGCCCTTATCTGGTTTTTACATCCATTATCTCTACGTGACACATTGATGTTGATACTTCTTAATTTTTTTTTTTTTAGTTTTAGGCAATATGTAGAAATTCCCCACTGTGGAGAATCAGGACATAGCTCTCTTTTTTCCCTCACTAAGTGCCCTCCTTTTTATTTATCGTTCCAGGATAGTAGTATTTTGTCTAGATTCATATTTGGTGTTTAAAATATAAGTACATATGCTAATTGCAGTAAAACCAAGTATTAATTTATGATTTATTTTTTCTTTTCTGCCTCAGAAAAAAACTTATTATCTTCAGAATTAAAACTGATTTGGTTTTGTTCTTTGTGTGGATTTCCTGTGTATTGAACTCATATTTATTTTCAGATTCCTCACTAGTTTTCTCAATCTCCTCATAAAACATCCGCTCACATCATGTTTATTAGAAAAATTCAGTTTCCTGCAGGCATCTTTGCCAGGATCCTCTGCTTGCCTCATGCTCTGTTACTATCCTGAGACTTCTGTTTACATCAACCTGCTGTTCCTTTCATCTGGATTACATTTTGGACTTCTGTTCCCCTCATCTCATGTCTTCTTTATGAGTTTCCTTCCCACTTTGATGGAAGACATCCTCAAATAGTTTATCTGGAAGGGGTGTAAAGGGTAAATGTTTTCAGAACTCACATGAGTGGAAACATTGAATTCATAATCACAATGGATATAGTATTCTAGGTTGAAAATCATTTCCCCTTAGAATATTCAGGATATTTTTTATTGTCTTCAAGTTTCCAAAATGGCAGTTAGTTTTAAGTACGGAATCCATTCTGATGTTTGGTTGTTTTTTTTTCCCTGGAGGACTATAGAAATCACTTTAATGTACCCTGCATTCTGAAATATATTATTGGTGTGGTTTGGTATGGTTTATTCTCATTTATTGTGTGGATCATGTAGCAGGCTCTTCTAATCTGAAAACTTTATTCTTTCATTTAGGAAAATTGCCTTGAATTGCTTCATTCATGATTCCATGTATCTCTTTTCTATGTTTTTTTTTTCCTATTATTTACCCATTGAACTGCAAAGTTATCATTTCTGAGTTTACCTTTTTCCTCATCTTTGATTTAATTCTTATCTATTCTTCCTAGATTTCCTCAAGTTTATCTATCAACCATTCCACTGACATTCCATTTCTGCTATAATATTTTTAGTTTTCAAGGATTTATTTTTCTCCCTCCTGGGTATTCAGTTTTAAATATAGCATCTATTTTGGCTTCATGATTACAATATCTCCTCATCATTCTATGAATGTGAATGATTGATTATTAAAATTGTCCTTTTTTCTACATCGACTCTGTTTCCTATAGGTTGCTTCCTCCCCCTCCACATTTGCCTATTTTGGTCTTTTTGAGTGGACAAAACACAAACTGTGTCTCTTTTGCTCTCACCATACAGCAAGTATAACAGAAGACTTCTGTGACCCAATATGTGGGGATTTTTGCCCACCAACAAGCAAGCAATCAATTGTATGGCAGATACCAGCTGAGTGTCCTCCATTTAAATTCCCAAACCATCAACCTGGAGGTAGTGTCAGATCACACAAATTGAGGGCTTTGTTCCACAAGACTGCCCCCTACATCAGGTGCCAATTACAAGCCTCAGGTTGTTTTTACCTGTGCTTCTGACCTATGGGCTATCAGTTGGGGCTCCCACAACCCCCTCTTTGGGTTTGATTAATTTACTAGAGAGGACCATAGACTCACAGAACTCAAGGAAACACTCATGTTTCCTGACTTATAGAGAATATTACAAAGATTATTGATGGAGAGCTGCATAGAGCAAGGTGTGTAGAAGTGGGAGTGAAGGTCCTGTGTACTCTCACTGTGCACCACCCTCCAAGGACCTCCATGTGCTCAGCTGTCTGGAATTTCCTTGATCTCTGTCTGTCTGGGGTTTGATGGAGGCTTCATTATGTAGGCATCATTGATTAAACCATTGGCCATTCTTAATCAGCTTCACCTTTGAGGCCAAACGTCTCAACCCTCTAATCCTACCTTGGGCTTTCTGGGGACCAGCCGTGATCCAAAGCCTCCTAAGAGCTGCCCACCAGAAGTCAATTCACTAGCATACAAAAAGTATCACTATTCCAAGAATTTTAAGAGTTGTATGCCAGAAAACAGGGATGAAGACCAAATACATATTTCACAATATCACTGTCTTTATATCATGTGACACTTTTCTCAGTGTCCAAAAATTCTTGTATGTCTGCTCATATAAAGCAAGGAGAACTAAAAGGCCTTTGGAAACTCTGAGCCCAGGAACAGGATTTGCTGGCCACAAGCTTCACTGCAAGGGGATCTGGCTGGTGGTTGGGAGTAGCCTCAATTCAGCACCTTCTGGTTTTTGCTCTTAGGATGGTAGAATTCTCTAGAAATCTGTGTTTCTCCTGGAGGAGTTAGGCTGCAGCTGGGACAAGCTTGGGAACTCAAGGTCCAACACATAGGGTGTTACATTGTCCTCTGTGTTCACTATGGTGCCCCAGTTCACAACTCTTCCTGGTTCCACAGTATGTTGGTTCCCAGCTTTTCCCACAGACCGCTTAAGACTCCCTCTCGTCGTTCTGCTAGCTCATGTCACCCACTGTGCACCCACTTTCCCATCAAGGCTTTATGCCTTTAGAAACAGTGCCCTTTCACTCCCCTGTGAGTGGGATTTGGGAAGACAGTATAAGCAGATGTTTGTACTCAGTCTGCCATTTTTCTCATCAATTTATTGATGAGAAGACTGAAGTTGAGAAAAGCTGAGTGGTCCTTGACTTAATTCACCTTCACTGAGTTTGTGCCAGACAAGTCACATTGAGCAGATTGGAGACATCCCTGGAGTAATATAACATTAGCTCATGTTTATTAAGTGTATGTCACATACCTGATACTGTTCTGATCTTTATATCTATTACAACAGCTCTATAATGGAGGCTGTTATTATCATCACAGTGGAGGGAAGTGGGGCACAGAGAAAGTACAATTTGCCCAAAGCCACAGGGCTAAGAAAGTGGTAAAAGTAGAGTATAAATCTAGAGCAGAGTTTCTGTCCATTAGCACTAGTGACACTTTGGACCAGGTAACCCTGGCTGGTGGGCTGCCTTGTGTGTTGTAGGCTGTTTAGCCACATCCAAAGCTTCTCCCCACTAGATGACAGTGACAGTGTTCTGCCCGCAATTATGATAAACAATGTCTCCAGACATTGCCAAATGTCCCCTATAGGGCACAGAGGCCCTGATGGAGAATGGCAAACCTAAACAGGCTGAGCGTGTGGCCTCAGCCACTGTTTTATATGACTGCTTGGTCTGGGAACCATGCAGGGCCCCTTCTACCTATTCTACTCCCCCTGTGAATCGGGCAGCAAATTCTATGGCAAATCCCAGTCCTATCAGCCAACTGTTGGCTTTACCACTCTCCAGTGTACTTTGTCCATTGCCAGATAAGAAAAAGTACAAAGCAAAAAAGAAACTAATGAAGGTATCTTGGGGGAGCTCTGGCGGGCCGGGAAAGGCCAAGTCTTTAACCCTATGACTCTCTCTCACCCATCTTCATCCCCACAGAGCCAAGGTGAAGAAGGGGGTGAACATCCTGAGTGCTCAGACCAGCGAGCCTCGGCAGTGGGGTATCCAGCAGGAGCTGGGCAGTGGCGGGAAGCACGTCACTGCCACAGTGATCTGCCAGCGCCTGGGATCCAGCGCACGCAACAGGTAAGCAGGTCTGTCGACACCTGTGGTTCGGGCTGTCACTGCCTAAGAAGCTTGACTCAGACTCACATTAATAGTTGCTTAATGGAACCAGCAACCCCCAGCCTGGAAATCTGGAGAAACCTGTAGCAGCGGCAGTGCCACAGGGCAGAGCAGTGCACTCGCTCTGAAATCCTGTGCTTCCAGGTTTTATAGCACTGTGATGTCACCTCTGCTTCTGAGACTGTGCATTCTCTTCATCTGAATTTTATTACTGGGACCTTGGCCTTGTAGATTTACAGAAGAAGCTTTATTATAAAGTGCTCATTTTTACAAAAAGGGTTAGATTTAGTCCTCATTGAGAAGGTATTTGAAGAAAGGAGGTGACAGCTAGGGCAATAATGGATTAGGGTTAAGGTTAGAACCTCTCTGTGAAAGTCCCTATAGATATCATGGTTGATTATTTAAAATGAGTGTTTTCTGGTTAGAAAAGGAAAACATACTCATTTTAGAATATTTGGAAAACACAGTTACATGAGGAGGGGAAACTTAGATCATCTACCAACATCCCTACTCTACTTCTCAAGGAAAACCCATGGGGGACATGTCAGCTCCTTTCCTTTGAGGATTTTATACATATGTACCATTGAGATGCAGTAAATGTATAGTAGATGTATTTATTTTACAAATTTGGTATCATTACTTGCCTACAGATTTCTTGGACACTTTTATTTTCATTTATATGGGAAACATTTTCTTTTGACATTAAATACTCCTCAAAAACATTTTAACAACCTTATAGTATTCCATCAGATAGATTTAGCAGAATGTAAATAACCATACCTATGTATTTGAACACTTAGGTTGTTCCCAAGTTTTATTCTTACAGATAAGACAACAGTACACCACCACCCACATACATGTTTGTCCACTTCTGTTTTTCCTTCAGGTGGCTTATTAGAACTAAAAGCAAGACTGTTTTTCAGGGCTCTTGGAATATTCTGTCAATGTGTTTTCCTAAAAGAATCAGTATTCAGGGAAGTTTTCTTGGACACATTTTCTCAAGTGGGTACTGCAAGGCTGCCGTGAAAAATTCTCCAAATTCTCTGCTCTGTTTAGAAACACCCTGATCTTTGGTCCAGAGAAGCCCTTTCTCAGTTCTTCTTTTAATGTGTAACTACAAAAAAAAAAAAAAAAGAAAAAAATATTTAATGTCCTAAACTGCTTACTGAGTCAATACCAAGCCTCACCTTCATTACCCCAAGAAAAATTTGTATTGTACCTGCTGGGTGAGGTTGGGGATGAGGGCCGGATGTCTAAGTCTTTGAACTTGGTGAAAAAATGGCTAGGAAAAAAAGTGTTTGTGGGTCCCTTGTTATCAGCAGGAGATCAGAGGCTAAAGTAAATCTTCTGAATCAAATGCATATAAAGTCTAATTAACCCATAAGATTAACGTTGATTATGCTAATAAAAGTGAATGTGTTAATTAACAGACAGTGAATTTATGCATGCTGGTACTTCTTCAGTCAAAACCTGAATGAGAATCAGAGTGAGGGAGACTAGCCTCGTGGTCTCAAGTTCTGTCCCAGTGGCCACCCTGTTGTTGTGAGGCTTCTGGGATCCTTGCTTTGATCCTGGACATGTTTGGTGTCTCAGAAGTAAACATCATGCATTCCTCAGCCAGCCATTTTAAAAGTTTGGCAGAGGGTGGACCGGAGGAAAAATTTAAACCTGCAGAAATAGAAAGGGCCACTGAAAATGGCTAGACTGGTGACATCGGGAGCACTTGAATGGGGGAGGGAGAGGGATGTGGCTTGGGTGGGGCTAATGTAAGAAGGAGGTACAGGGAGACACCAGGAAGACCACCCAAGGCCGTGCCATATGGAGGCCTGAGCGGCAGGCCCCCCATTTCAACTGCAATGTCCTGAGCTACCTTTACTTTTTCCCATCTTCAGATTGATTTGCCTTTTTTATTTAACTTAAGTCAGAGTCGACTAAATGGGAGACTGCATGCTGCTGTCTATACCAGTGAGTGTCCTTAGCTACACCAGCAAGTGATGGACCTGTCTTGTTTAAGCAGAAGAGAAATGTATCCGAAGGGTACTGCTGAGTAGGCTGCAGGATCAGCCTGGAAAATGGGCAATACCAGGAGAATTCCGGGGAGCTGGCCCGTGCCTGAGAGCACCCCTCAGCATGCTCCACTCAGCCCATAACTCACTTAAGAGTTTTCTTAGCCATGTACACCTAAGGTGGCGGGTTCAAATCCCCAGCCCGGACCCGCCAAACAACAATGACGACTGCAACCAAAAAATAGCTGGGCGTTGTGGCGGGCGTCTGTGGTCCCAGCTACTTGGGAGGCGGAGGCAGGAGACTCGCTTGAGCCCAGGAGTTGGAGGTTGCTGTGAGCTGTAATGCCACGGCACTCTACCCAGGGGGACAGCTTGAGGCTCTGTCTCAAAAAAAAAAAAAAAAAAGAGTTTTCTTTAAATCAACTATAAAGTGCTTTGATATTTTAAAAAAAAATCATTTTCACTTTTAGTAATAATATCCTTGAAATGGTACATTCAAGATGAATTTATTATTTTCTAATATACATTATCGTAAGTACAAAACGCTAAGTGTTATTTTAAATGATCATCCCACTACCCTCTAAAAATCCTCCCAGGGGTCTTTGGGAAATGCTACTTCAAAGCAAACGAAGGGTGAAGGAAATGTTTTACCATACGGGAAACCACTGTGTTGGTTATGTGTTCCCTAAGTCTGGAATTGCCTGTGTCTTTGTAGGAGTTTCCTATTGTTGCTGTAACAAGTTACCACAAATTTAGCAGCTTAAGACAACGCATGCTTATGATCATCTTATGGTTCTGGAGGTCAGAAGTCAAAATGGGTTTTCCCAGGATAAAATCAAGGCATCTGCAGGGATGTGTTCCTTCCAGAAGTCTAGAGGAAAACCTGTTTCCTGGTTTTCTAGGGGCTGCCTGCATTCAGGGCTCGTGGGTCCCTCACCCATCCCCAGAGCCAGCCGTAGCCAGTGAAGTCCTTTCCATGCTGCATCTCTATGAATTCTGTTTCCATCATCACTTCTCCTTCTCTGCCTCTTCCACCTCCCACTTCCACTCACTTTCTAAGAACCCTGCGGTCGTGCTGGCCCCATCTGAATAACCCAGGATCATTATCTCATCTCAAAATTCTCACCTTAATCTGCAAAGTCTCTTTGCCTTGTAAGGGGATATGTTCACAGGTTCTGGGGATTACGATGTAGACAAATTTGCCAACCACAGTCTTCTTAGAACATGATACCTGTAACCTCCAAGTCATTGAAGTGCTGGCTTTGGATATCTTGGAGTACCAAGCTCAGGTTACGTAGTGTACCTGCTGTGGTTCCCAGGGCAGTGTGTGGCATTCCCGCCCACAGAAGCTTTCTGTGCAGCTGAGGTCTGATGTCAAGATCCTTATATCTCTAGCACTGCTGTGGGAAATGGGGTCTCCCTCCCAGGCTGGGTCCAGCAGTAACAGCCATTCTGGTTAGGGAGCGTGTGAGGCATATTCTTGCTTCAAGGACAGGGCTGGCTCAGTCAATCATCTGAGTACTTTGCTGGCACTGAGCTCCACCACCTCCATGGTTTGTGTCTGCCCGCAGGAGCCTTTCTCAATAGGATTCTGAGCCATTACTGGCTGGGAGAGCATTTACAGGCGTGGGGAGTGGTCTGTTCCTTACCTCTGGCTCTGGTAATGCCCCCCCTCCGTGAACATTTGCAATTAGGTGAGTCTCCTGAGTTAAAGGGCAGAAGCTGCGGCCACATTTTCAGATGCCAGCCACCCCTTGTGTCCTGGCTTATAAACCAGGGCATCCAAGGTGACAGAAGGAGCTACAAAGAAGTGACACTGGTCTGCCCAGGGACGGACAGCCACTCCAGGGATATCTGCCTGTGACATGGTCATCTTCCCCAAGCAGTCCCAGAATGGTGGTTCCAGAGGGACCTTACCACTCCTTGCTGGCCAACTCCATCTGCACCAGTTTCTTCAAAGGCACAAACACAGTCTCCCAATCTAACTAAAAATAGTGTTTTTTTGTACAAACGCAGCTTAGAATCATGTCCCCTGGCTTTTACCCCCACAACTAAGTCACCCCTATTAGCCCCTAACATAGAAACCTGCTATCTCAGGAGATGAGGGTAGCTGATTTGGTGGCTGAGATCTGAGACCAGCAGACAGGTAGTGGTTAAGCAGTCCACTGCTGTTGGTGGCTTTGAGAGCTCTGGAAATCATTCTAGTCCATCGGTCTTATAAACAAGAACCATGAGTTATCACAAGGAGCCCCACAAAACCCTGAATTGGTTGAAAATGTATGGTGTGTTTGATCTCCTATGGGACACACAGATGCTACAACCAGCTGCAGTCCCCGTTCCTCCCTATCGCCTTGCATCTGGCCTCCTCACTCGTGAATCATCTACTTGTTTTGTGAGGACACATTAGTTAGAAAACCTCCTGTATCAGTCAGCTATATAAGGACTGAGCCTTACTTTAATCACACCTCCAAAGTCCCTTTGCCATATAAGGTAACATATTCACAGGTCCCAGAGACTAGGATGTGGACAAATTGGCCTCAGTAATGCCATTTAAAAAAACACTCAGATCTCAATGGTTTGCAAATTTCATTAACCCTCCACATTCATGGGTTCTCTGTTCATGGATTCAACCAACCTCGAATAGAATATGTTTAATAAAAAAGAAGGTTGTGTATGCACTAAATGTGTAAAGACTTTTCTTGTCAATATTGTCTACATGTAATACAGTATTGGAGGTAACAACCAATGTAATAGAACTTACATTGTATTTGGTATTATTCATAATCTGGGGATGATTTATATACAGAAGGATGTGCATAGGTTATATATAAACATGACACTGTTTTATATCAGGGACTTGTGCATCCAAGGATTTAGACACATCTCCTGTGGATATTGGGACACAGCTGTGGGAGCATTGCTCTCATGTTCCCAGGGCTATCTGGTCCACCGAAG